CACTTGCCTTGCATGCATGAGGCCCTGGGTTCGATTCCTCAGCACCACATAAGCAAAAAGAAAAAAGCTGGAAGTGGCGCTGTGGCTCAAATGGTCGAGCTCTAGCCTTGAGCTGAAAAGCTGAGGGACAGTGTCCAGGCCCAGAGTTCAGGCCCACGACTGGACCAAAAATAAATAAATAAATAATCTTAAAAAAAAAAGATCTTCTTTGATAAGGATAAACTTACCTGTGGTAAGGCGAGGAGATAAGCAAGAGCCAACATCATATCATTAGGCAAAGCATCACTTGCCAGTTGCAATAGAACTAATTGTAGAAGAAAGAAAAAAGCCAACAACATTATTTTGCTTAAGGATCTCTAGGACATTCCTAGTAACTGTCATGTCTTTAGTCCTATGTGATTTCAACAGATAATTAGCTAAGAAGTCTCTTTAACACTTTCGTGAAAATTTATTCAACACCATGTAAATATAGATGACATTTTAAAACTATTTAAAATGATACTCTTGCCTTTACTAGGAAGGAGGATAGTATGTGTTATTTACACACAAGGAAATACCATTGGGGCAGTTTTTGCCAAGTTTAAGAGTAGAGGAGTCAGTGGTGGTTGTCTGTTAGAATTAGGTCTTTTGGGTTTTAAAGACTAAGGCCAATCTATAAAATCATAGGTAACAACAACAGCTAATTTGGAGAAGGATCAAATGAGTACTAAAGATCAGAACAATAAAATTGCTTTGTGGGTACAAATGGAGGCTAAAGTTTTTGATTACTATAGTAGTAAGTGTAAGGTCTGCCCTGACCATGGGGGCCCTGGCCTCCCCACCTCCTGGCACACCTGGAAGCAGTCACCCCCTGCCCCTCCTCCAAGGTCACATCTCCCTTCAGAGCCAAGGAGGGTCCTAGGCTCTGAGATCACATCTAGATCAGGTGTGGCCACACCTTTCCCTCACCTAGCCACACCTCTAAAGTCCCAGGCCTAGATAAGTTCTTGCCAGGGGGTGAGTCATCTCTTAGGCCAGGTGCTCACCACCATGCACAGTTGGGGCAGCAGTTTGGTAAATAAACTTCTTTCCCTGCCTGAATACTACCACGTGGTGTTACTTCCCTAGGCTATCTAATTAAACCTACCTATTTTATTTACCTTACATTAAGATGTTTGTTCCTTCCAAAACACCTCTCTTCATCACATTCCACAAAAAAGGAAATCAGTCTTTTCCTTGCTCATTTGTAAATTATCCCAATAATTAACCAAGTCTCCATAACAATCTGCTCACGTCTTGGCTTTAATAAGATAGAGCATTACCAATGAAGCCTCTTTATCTATAGCATGTTTCAAAGATTTAGTGACAAGAACTAGAAAGTCACATATAATCATAATGTAAACAGTCATTTTTCTAAAATATACTCACGATCTGTACTAATAAAGGAGAAAAGTACAAGAATTATTCATAGTAAATGATAGGTGGTTTAGGAATTAGACCATCCCTCTCCTGCACCCTGGAGATTTGAATTACTGGGAAAAATAATCTAGTTTAACAGAAAGTCTGGCAGTGGGGAATGATAGGAGAGTGGAGAGCAACCAAGAAGGGAGTAAAGTGTCAGAAGCTACCCTAGAACTTCGAACTTGCTTCACGGGAAGGAATATTGAGCTTTTTCCATGGTGCCTCCTCAGAATACTGATTCTCTAAATACTCATATCCATATTAGTCAGCCTCAGGCCTCTGAAGGAGTCATACCATTTTAAAATCATTTTTTAATCAAAAGTTATTAATTTCAAAGCCCATTTCCAAATCCTCATTCAACATCAATGAAAACTTTCTAATGTGCCCTAAAATAATTAAGCCCTGGTCCTTGAGGACTACACAGATCAGGATAAGACAAAGTCTTTGAACAAATAATTTTCAAATCTAATTCGGTACAAACAATTAGGGAGCAAATAAGAAGTATGAAATTGGTGAAATGTACCCTCAAGATTATTAAAAACTGAAGGAAAAAGGGATTAAGATATTTTAGATGCCAGAATATAAAGCAAGAGATAACCATGAAAACTAAGCCTGCTGAAAATTAGGACTACTTGAAATTTACGTCAGTCTAAAAATTATATATTATACTAGCATACACGTGTGTGTGTTTGTACACACACACACACACACACACACACACAGAAACCCCAAGGGCTGCCATACTCACTGAAGTCTGCCATTCAAAATGTGCCTAACAGGCCTATACTATTTATTTTGAAGGCAGAAAAAAAATCCAATTGTTTCGTATATTAACAATTCTTAGTTGCTCATTTCCTTTCCTATAGCATTTTTAACCTTCAAGTGTAGCCTCATCTTTTTTTTCTACATCCTTTCCAATTTTCTTTCAATATTTCCCTTCTTTATCATGAAAATTTGCAAACAAGCATATCTGAACCCATGCATCAAAATTGGCATTCTCTTCAAAGGAATCCCCAGGAGCCCTTATTTCAGGTGTGTGGCTTTTCTCTAGCTATTGTGGAACCTTACTTCTTAGGGTTGCAGCCAGAGCCAATCTCAGAACCATACTGGAAATTAAGGCACATTACTGACAATCTTATCACTTCTCTTTTTTTTTTTTGAAATCCTAACATCAATTCAACATTTTCCTTTATTCAATGTGCACTTCACTATTTCCCAAACCTAAAGGATCCTCAAGGGATGAAAACATGTTACTACCAAAGAATTCTCAAGAATATCACAGATCCAAAAGAAATCCCAAAACAAAAGCATCCCAACAACAACAATGTAGCAACAAAAGATGAGCAATAATGGAAGATTTGGAATAAATACAAATCTCTAGTAGATATCTTTGAATAGACTACCTAATTTCCATAGGTTTATTATAATTGACTACAATTATAAAATAAAAAAATGTAGCTCATTTCTATGAGCTCAAAGTAATAACAAAAACTAATGCTTGGAGTTATGTCTCAGGGTCACTACTGTCACCAAACCATGAAAATCATCACCTCAGAAAATATTTGCTCTCAGGCAAACAGCACCCACATGACTTCAGATATACAACATGTGAACCAGGGGGGTGGGTTGATTAGTTGGCTTTGAATGATGATGATTTGCCATTGGGAGGTATTGCTATTCCTGGAGAAGCTGCCCTTCTAGTCTGGTTAATACTGTGAGCTGAGCTTTGCAAACCAACCAACCCAGGGCCAAGCTCTGAATCAAGGTATCTATCTTGCCTTGCACACTCCAAAAGGCAATTATCTACTGTCTTATGCAACATGAGGCCAGGCTCCTGACAGAATCTACCCTCTGTAGCACAGAACGGGAAAAAGTATTCATACTACCAATGTTCCACTTGCCCAAGCATGCCCGCCTGCTTCCAGCTCCCTTGTCAATTAAAAACATAGAACTTATGCCAGGAACACCCTGGCTGGTTCTGCCTCTGACCATCCACCTGCTTTCCTTCTGTGCCTACTGTTGTAGAAATCTAGATCAACATCTTCATGACAATCATTTCCATGCCTGCCTGCCTGCCTCTTCACACCTGAAGAAAGCCAACTTTCATATACATTTTAGAAAAACTCAAAACAAAATTATGAATAAAAAAACTGCTACAACAGGAAGGAAATCACATTCAAAACTAGAAGGCCATGGGATCAAAGTTCAGGTCTCTCGCTGGTTCACTTCAGTGTCCACAAGATCTGGCCTGTAGGTGGTAGTGCAGTACCACCTACCCTCATCAGCAGGACTGGGAGCACCCAGGGATCAGACAGGAACATTTCTGCTGCAAAACCCTTTTCTTTTTCTTCCTTTCTTCCTTTCTTTTTTTTTCTGATACTGGGGTATGAACTTCGACCCTCATGTATGATAGGCAAGAGCGCTGCCAGTTGAGTCAAATCTTTACACTTTTTGGTTTATTTTTTAATTGTATTTATATCTTGACGTAGTAGTTGTAGAACGGAGTTGCCATTAAACAAGTGGTATATGAATACAACAGATCCTGAGCAGTATCACCCCCTTTCATCCTTCCCCTTCAGCTTTCCCAATCCCACCTCTGCCCTCAATTTTCTTAATTTTGTAGAATATGCAAGGAATTTGAAAACTGCTTACCCCTGCTTCCTATCTTCGTTCATCTACCCTCCTCCCATTGATCTTACCCCTCCACTTTCAAGCAGCTGATTCTTGGCGTTTATTTTGTTGGACTATGTGTTACACTTTCTAAGGAATTACATCATTTGAGTTCTCCTGAATCTAGCATAGTTCAGTTAATACCCTTGTGTACAATTGGATTCTATCCCAAAGTATATATTTATGTATTTATAGATTAATTGTAGCTTCCACATATCCTTTGTCTTGTACCCACAGACCTACGTCTAGTATTTGATAAGGGAACCAAACACATAGGACGGAAGAAAGACAGACTCTTCAACAAATGGTGCTGGTAAAACTGGATATCTACATGTAGAAAACTGAAACTGAATCCCTACCTATCACCTTGCACCAGTTTCAATTCAAAATGGATAAAATACCTCAATGTAAAACCTGAAATTATGAAGCTATTACAGGGAGGAGCAAAGAAACACTAAGATTCCCCAGCACAGGCAGGATCTTTCATGGGGAAAGATCCAGAAGCATAGCAAATCAAAGAAAGAATGGATAAATAGGGGCTGGGAAGGTGACTCAGTGGTAGAGCACTTGCCTTGCATGCCAGAGGCCCTGTGGCGCTGTGGCTCAAGTGGTAGCGTGCTAGCCTTCAGCTGAAGAGCTGAGGGACAGCGCCCAGGCCCAGAGTTCAGGCCCCACGAGCGGAACCCCCCCCCCAAAAAAAGAATGGATAAATAGTTTTGCATCAAAACAAAAAGGGTTTGCATGGCAAAGACACTGTTACCAAGCAAAAAAGACAGCCTACAAAATGGGAGATCTTTTCCAGCTATACATCAGACTAAAACCTAGTATCTAGAATATTAAGACACCTTAAGAAACTAAACCCTCAAAGAATCAACCACCCAATTAAATGTGCAAAAGAGCTAAACAGAGATTTTTCAGAAATGAAGATGGACAACAGACATATGAAGAAATGCTCATCTCTGGCCATAAAGGAAATGCAAATCAAAACAACCCTGAGATTCCACCTTACCCCAGTCAGAAAGGCCATTATCAAAAACCCAAACAACAACAGATGCTGGCGTTGATATGAGCGGGAAAAAAAAACCCTAATACAATATTCGCAGGAATGTCAAAACACACGTAAAAGCAGTAGGGAAATTCCTCAAAAAACATTGAACTACCCTGTGACCCAGCAATTCCACTCTCAGGCATTTA